CTCACCTCTCCTAGCTCATCTATTTCGCTCCCCTCACACCGCGCGTCTCCTCCCCTCGTGCCTCACCTCTCCTAGCTCATCTATTTTTCTCCCCTCAAACCGCGCGTCTCCTCCCCTCGTGTCTCACCTCTCCTAGCTCATCTATTTTTCTCCCCTCACACCGCGCGTCTCCTCCCCTCGTGTCTCACCTCTCCTAGCTCATCTATTTCGCTCCCCTCACACTGCGCGTCTCCTCCCCTCGTGCCTCACCTCGCCTAGCTCATCTATTTCGCTCCCCTCACACCGCGCGTCTCCTCCCCTCGTGCCTCACCTCTCCTAGCTCATCTATTTTGCTCCCCTCACACTGCGTGTCTCCTCCCCTCGTGCCTCACCTCGCCTAGGTCATCTATTTTGCTCTTAAGCTCCTTCACGCTGGCCGTCGACTCTGCCTCCCTTAGCCGCACTGACAGCAGCTCCTGCTGCAGCGCCTGTATCACCTCCTCTGCTTGCTTCAGGCTGAGCCCCGTCGTGCCACGACTCTGCAGCGAATCATAAATAGCTTCACTCTGCGGCGAAGCAGGAAAAGCAAGAAACGTGGCAGTTAGTGACAAGGCGTTGGCGACAACAAACAACAACAACAACATCAACATCAACAAAAACAACAGGGGAGTGTGGCCGATGCAACAAACATCGTTTATTTAGGGGAATCAAACGAATCGCGAATCAAAAAAAGCGAGCAACATAGAGAGTTTGGGCTATTTTAGTCAATGCTAATGCTAATGCTAAAGTTAATGAGTTAATGTCAACTCCTATAACATTGGATCGTAACACTGGATAACAACAGACAGCTGTAATGTTTAGTGGCACATAACTCACTGCGAGTTGTTAATTCAACTGTTACGTGATGACAAGAACATCAAGAAAATGCAGATTTGATCAACGTTGAGTGAAATGGCCAATAACAGGAGACAAGCTACCGAACATGGAATGAGATGACAGATAGGCATCGAAACAGCAAACCTCTTTCTAGGAAAAAGAAAGCTACTAACATACTACTAAGATCAAAACATAAGAGCCAAACAGCAGGACTATATGTCCAATTACCAACATCCAAGACCAGAATAGTTAAGACCAGCAACCGAGAGATGGAATCTTGACCCAGTCCAAGAGAAATGCTAGAGAAACGCCTACCAGCTTATGTTTTTCTTTTAGCCTTTCTAATTCATCTTTGGCTACAGAAAGTTTCGACGCCGTTTCGACGTTCACTTGTTTGACAGCGGCAAGCTCACGCTTCACTTGGAAGCTTTCCTCGGCTTCCTGAGCCCGCGTGACCTGACCCTGGATCAACCTGTCAGCCAGAGCAGCACTCTCCTGCAAGTCATCGACAAAGAAAGACATCAGTATGTACCAATCATATACAAACACACACGCAGTAACCGATGTAGCTGGTAGAGTACGTGACCTCTTAGTTTGACAGTACCTCTTCAAATAGGTCTGCACGAGTTCATACACTCCTCATTACTTAGTACCTATACACCTACATTAGTATCTACACACATCTACATTAGTACCTACACACCTACCAAACTGCATGCAATGCCCCTTCGCTCACTCAGGATACCACTGCCGCAATCAAACTGCATGCAGCGCCCCCTTCCCACACTCAGGATATACCACTGCCACAAGTAGATTTCGGTTACAATTTGTAACGCTTTTTTACTA